ATTTTCGTGGGAGACATTACTCATTTTACCTTTATTAACATTCAAACTGTAGTTGAAAAATTACAAAGGTAAAGAAAAATCGAGATGAAGATCATCTTCTGAAGAATTGCTTACCTTCTGCTTGGTCTCAACATCTTTTTTATTTACCAACTCCACGTATTGACGTTCTTAAATACTCGTCCATTTACGCAATGTGTTCAGAGTATCACAAACAGCAAGACGCTTTTGATTTACTCAGATAACATTCATCTTCAGTTTTCCAATCCCTTTAAGGGGTAGCAGTAATTATAGCTGCCGATTAGTCGGACAACTGTTCAAATTGTACTTTTTCTTGTATTTTTCCATTCTGTTTGTACTATTATGTTGATCTATGAATGGGCTAAACGCCTGTTGATTAACCAATCAATAATAATAATAATAATAATAATAATAGAAGATGATTTTCATCTCGATTTTTCTTTTCCTTAGCTTCGCACTTTTGTGTAGCTCTTCGAACTATTCCTTCTATCTTTCTAATACTTTTCACTGTCTCCAACTAAATCTTCATCTCGGCATATTCTGATTCTAGGTTAAGTCCCCTTTTCTGGAATACAACTTCACTGGAGAATTGTCTTGTATTATCTATTTGACCTTAATCTTCAATAATTTTGATTTTTTCATTTTCATTAAGTGTCTTTTTCTTCTGGCATGTTTGTCTTTTTATATATTTTTGTTTCGTTGCCACTGAATTGTTTTTATTCTCGTTCTTGATGTTTCCTCTACTACTTTTTGGGATTCGTTTATACTTTTCTTCTTATTACTCCTACGACGTCTTTGGCCGTCTTGGGTATTATTTCTTTAGTTCCCTCCATCTCTCCTCCATTCCTTGTTATCTTTCTTGTTTTTGTCTTTTTGAGTTCTCTACTCTTCCGTGTACTTTGCGTTTAAATCCTGATTCTTAATTAATCTCTCTGTGTTATACTGTATTATCCTAACTGCATTTTTCATCGGCCAGATTAGGTCAGGTCAGGTCACGTTAGGTCAGGTTTTCATATAGCGTCTTTTTCTTTGGGTATGATTGTTTTTTTTTTTTTAATATTCTTGTTTCGTTGCTATTGAATTGTTTTTATTCTCGCTCTTGATGTTCCCTCTATTACTTTTTGGGATTCGTCATCAAACCATTGCCTTACACTTTTTCGCTTCTTTTCATTACTCCTACGACGTCTTTGGCCGTCTCGGGCATTATTTCTTTAGTTTTCTCCATCTCTCCTCAGTTCCTTGTTCTCCCTCTTCTTTTTGTCTTTTTGAGATCTCTGTTCTTTTGTGTAATTTTCGTTTAAATTCTGATCCTTAATTAATCTCTCGGTGTTATAGTGCATTGTCTTAACTGCATTTTCCATCGGTCAGATTAGGTCAGGTCAGGTCAGGTCAGGTTGGATCGTGTCGGATTGGATCGAGTTGGGTCGGACCGGGTCAGGTCACGTCAGGTCACGTCAGTTCACATCAGGTTACGTCAGGTCAGGTCAGGTCAGGTCAAGTTTTCATAAAGCGTCTTTTTCTTTCGGCATTTTTGTTTTTTTATATATTCTTGTTTCGTTCCTACTGAATTGTTTTTATTCTCGCTCTTTTATCTATTACTTTTTGGGATTCGTCATCAAACCGTTAGCTTACACTTTTTCGTTTCTTTTCATTACTTCTACGACGTCTTTGGTCGTCTCGGGTATTATTTCATAAGTTCCCTCTATCTCTACTCAATTCCTTGTTCTCCCTCTTCTTTTTGTCTTTTTGAGATCTCTACTCTTTTGTGTAGTTTACGTTTAAATCCTGATGCTTAATTAATCTCTCTGTGTTATACTTTATTATCTTAACTGGATTTTTCGTCGGCCCCATTAGGTCAGGTCAGGTCACGTCAGGTCAGGTTTTCATATAGCGTCTTTTTCTTTGGGTATGTTTGTTTTTTTATAGATATTCTTGTTTCGTTGCTATTGAATTGTTTTTATTCTCGCTCTTGATGTTTCCTCTATTACTTTTTGGGATTCGTCATCAAACCATTGCCTTACACTTTTTCGCTTCTTTTCATTACTCCTACGACGTCTTTGGTCGTCTCGTGTATTATGTCTTTAGTTCTCTCCATCTCTCCTCAATTCCTTGTTCTCCCTCTTCTTTTTGCTTTTTGAGTTCTCTACTCTTTCGTGTAGTTTTCGTTTAAATCCAGATCCTTAATTAATCTCTCGGTGTTATAGTGCATTGCCTTAACTGCATTTTCCATCGGTCAGATTAGGTCAGGTCAGGTCAGGTCAGGTCAGGTCAGGTCAGGTCAGGTCAGGTCAGGTCAGGTTGGATCGTGTCGGGTTGGATCGAGTTGCGTCAGATCGGGTCTTGGTTTCTTTCGGCATGTTTGTTTTTTTTACATATTCTTGTTTCGTTCCTACTGAATTGTTTTTATTCTCGCTCTTTTATCTATTACTTTTTGGGATTCGTCATCAAACCGTTAGCTTACACTTTTTCGCTTCTTTTCATTACTCCTACGACGTCTTTGGTCGTCTCGGGTATTATTTCTTTCGTTCCCTCCATCTCTCCTCAATTCCTTGTTCTCTTTGGTGTTTTTGTCTTTTTGAGTTCTAGACTCTTCCGTGTAGTTTGCGTTTTAATCCTGATTCTTAATTAATCTCTCTATGTTATACTGCATTATCTTAACTGCATTTTTGTGTCCACTGCAGCTCGACCGGTTGCTGTCGTTTCGTTCAGGGGCGGCTTTCACTAAATCTTTAACTACCTACTACTACTACCTCCAGCGGCAAGGGTTTCCGAAATCACCAGTCGCTTTGAAAGCCGGCCCTGTTAAGTGTTAGCAAAAAATGTTTAGAAGACGATTTATTGCCAACCGGTAAGCTTAATGCGAACCACATGAAGGGGGTACTTATTTGCGGTCAACTACTTTTATGATGGTCATATAACCTTATAGCTTTTGGACTACTTTACTTAAAACCGGATTCGAAAAATACTTTTGACACAGTCCGAACTTGTGTGATACCCAAGCTGGTCTATATTGCCATCATTGTGTCCGTATTTGTCGGGGTATTTAACTTTGCCATAATAGGACCGATGTTAGAGTTTGTGGACTACTATACTAATAAAAATGTACAGTTTAATAGTTAAAAACTTAAGCTCATAAACATACAAATCTTCGGTCGAAGTTCACCGGTGGGCAAATAGTAAACAGAGGCGGATTTGTATTATTTTACCACACATTTAACTAAGATTTTTGTAAAGGTCGCCTACGATAATAGAACTTGTTTGTGTTGGTAGGTTGCATGTAGTTGACTTTTAACATAATAAATCTGTTGGATCTCATTGAACTTATAACTGTAACCAATTATCTTTCATACAACAATTTACATTTTTAAGAGATTTATGTAGAAATCAAAATTTTCTAATCCTGCATGTATGCTTTACTACATTTATTAGACTGATTTCAATATATAGTTCATTTAGGGCATTTTTGAAATATGTTGAAATAAATTGCAAAATAAGTGCATTATATTAATACGAATCATTTATTAGTCAGTCCCCCTATAAAAGCTCCGTTACAGGTAATTTCAAAGATCTATTCAACTACGTAACGTATTTTATATAACACATACTCTTGGTACGAAATATTAAGTAATATTTCATTACAAAAAGTTAATGGCGTCTCCCTTGGACGCACATCGTTACTAAGCCTGATATGAGCTTCGTCGGATTTAATCATAACTCAAGCTTTTATGAAATTTCCACAACTAAACTGTTAACAGTACGCTGATTTCATTCCCTAAATAAATCTGTTCACGTATTGGACGGATTTTGCATTTTTTCATAATTATAGCAGTCATTTACAAAGTTGTGGGCTTAATTAGAACCGATTTTTAAATAATTAAAATGTTCAAATGTTCAAATTATTTTGCCTTCGCAGATTTTCCCCATACAGTATTTTTAACTACTACTTAAGTAAATTATTTAGAATTTGTCAACAAGATTACGATTTTTTTTTAAATATCTGTATAAATAAAAACGTTATAAAGGGAAATATCACTTAGATGAAACATCCTGTATACATCCGTAGCTCTGACACCAGTAATAATTAAATTAAAATTTAATCCTGTCCCTATAAAATTTAGTAAAAAAAGTTTTAATTCTAAACAGATATTCATGATGTAGATTAGCTTTTGTTACGTTCGCTTGAATTGATTTTTAATAGCTTAACCTTTAATGTAAACTTAAAAATATACGATTATAACAGAAACAGCATTGCTTATGACATGAGTTTGGTACTCTAATATAATTAGAATATTGTACCCGAATCATTCTGTAAAAATAAATTGTCACATAACAATAATTGATTTGTTTTACTATTTGTATGATTAATGATACAATAGAAAGCTATAAATGAGCATTTAATAATGAAACTAATAATTTCAACAAATATAAATCGTGTTATAACACAAACATAATCAAAACAAAATGTACATTTCAATCATTAATTGATTGCTTTCTTGCGTTAAACGATTTAAAATAAACTTTAACTTTCTTATTTACTCAGTTTATAACTTTATTAATTAAGGAAACTGCTTTCGTTAAAAAATTGTGCAACAAAACGGAAGCGTCGTTTTTAATTGCTTTAATCTTCTCAACTGTCTTGGCACTAAAGGGTCACACGACTTATCTAATAAAAATAAAATTGTTTCCTGCTGTAAGCAAACTTTAACTCTATCTAAGCTTGTCCGCTAAACCGATTATGACGCAAAAGAAGAACGCATTTCAGCAAGCATTCGCCTTTCTCGTTAATGTACTCCTCACAAAGAAAGAAATAATTTAATTTCGTTTTTTAGTAAATTCGCACCCGACTCGCAAATGGAACACATAACGTGCGAGATTACGTGAGGCATATCTATTCTATGTAGCCATCTAGTATTTTTTACAAAGGTAACATATTACTAACAGTCTCATTCAGCAGGAATAAAGGACCTAGGGGGACCTCGTACCTGGTTGAGACCACACTGTCGCTACGTCTAATTTAAAGCTTCCCAATAATTTGTTACCCCTGAGAAAGTTCCGAGACTGCAACACCTGCCAGCGAAAGAAAACAGAAAAGTAGCAGAAATGTTAAAAAAGATTACAGGAGCCAGCACGATGCAGAAACCAGTGCAGTGTCGTGGTTGTATTTTAATAATAAACAAGTATCAGTACGTTTCAAGTTTTGTTCTACTTTTCAGCTTTTCATTCTTTGAATTAGGGTGCTACACACAAGTTTGAACGCATAGAAAAGGTGGAAAGTAGAAGAGTTTGTCGTGGATTAGAGAAGCTGTTTGTACCCGGTGCATCATAGACGGTTTTGACGTCTATCTTGAAGGTGCCGACGACCGTTCCGGGTCGCAGCAGTTTCCTAGAATGTAATACCTAAAACATATGACTATGTACAAGTTTTGAGTTATAGAAGGAGGAAAACAGTCACACATATCAGGGAAAGTTCTACAAAACAATCCTGGACAAAGTTGTAAGATCGTGAATGAAAACGTGAACGGCTTTTTAAAATTTTTGAATTCCAAGTTCGGCGTGTGATCTGTACAAAGTTTTAATGGAAAATATAGCAAGTTTTAACAAAACAATGAACGGATATGTCATGAATTCCACTGTAGAGCAATTTATCATTAATTAATTAAATTAAATGCGCATAGTATTTCTGCATGCATACAAACAATGGGATAAATAGTTGCTAGTGAAAGCAAGTTGAGTATAAACAGGGCAAGTAAATACAACATGTTGTGGATAAATATTTGTTACGTTTATAAATAAATTTATCATATACCCTTTGACAAAAAATACCTACCTGTTTTAATTTTGTTTTAACTGAAAGTTTAGTAACACTTGAAACGACCAGGATAATACAGGGTATTTTTGAAATAGATGGAAACTTTTTTTAAGGTAATTGGTCATGATGTAGAGAATTTATGCATCAAATATTGATCTAATAAAAATCCTTTAGTTTTCGAGATAAAATTGATTGAAAATCTGTTAAAATTTGCGTGTGCGCTACTGATTCCAAAAATGTTAAAGGTAAATTTGATCACTATAGTAATTTAAAGTAGGTAAAATTGTTGCTTGTTAACATGACAATACATTCATTAGCCCATTATTTTTTGACGTTTTTGCAATTTTTTGGAAGAACAAAATGAATTTTTCTAATTCTGAAATGACTGACATGGTTCTGATGTATGGACAAGCCTTAAGAAACTCCTTGGAAGCTCGACGTTTATACCAAGAAGCATTTCCCGAACGAAGATTGCCAAATCATAAAACATTTGCTAACGTTGTTCAGCGTCTACGACAAAATGGGAAATTTCAACCTCGTTTTAGTGATCGTGGTCGTGAAAGGACAGAACGGACACTTGATGCCGAAGAAGAAATTTTGAATGTCGTTGAAAACGATCCAGGTATAAGCATTAGACGATTGTCTTACCTAGTGGGAGTTTCACCTTTTGTGGTGTGGAGAACTCTACATGAACAAGGCAACAATCACTGATTAGACGTGCGGAAGCGTGTATACGAAATGGTGGTGGACATTTTGAAAACTTGCTCTAGTTGCATACGTTACGTTTTGTTTCATTTTATGGTTGATTAAATTATGATTTTGAAGGTTTAATTGTCAGTTCATTAATTATTGTCATTGTTTATTTGTTGCTAGCAATAAATTAATAGCAACAGTAGTTACACCTCGGCAGTTTTCAGTTACTAGGTTTCACATTTTTTCGTGAAACCATTATTTATCAGTGGAGGAATGAATGTTTGGATAGGGGTTAAATTTTCCTTTCAAAACTTTACTAAAACAACAAACGTTCATTTGACTTCTTAGGTTCCCTACATTCACCAGATTTTTTGTTTCCATGTATTTCAATAACACCCTGTATAACTGTAATAGTTATATTATTAATTTATTATACAGGGTCGCTAAAAAGTATGAAAGCAGTTGAATATCGCGAGAATGGTTTGTTGAATCTTTTTGAAATTTAGGCTGTCTCTTGGAAGTTCTATTCAAGTTCTATTTTCTGGATTTTTTTTTCAAATTTTCATTTGTTTCTGAGATGCAGGGCTAATTTGATTTTTTTTTTTTAATTCAGGAATGTAACGCATGCATTATTTTATTTTTTCTCAAGATGGTAAAATCAGTTGTCAAAATAAAAATACTGAAAATTTATTCAAAAATTATACTAGTGCCCAATCATTGTAGAAATGATAGAACTGAGGATAAAGATGCCAGCGTAACATATTGATTTAAATGCTGTTTCCAAATATTTATCGAAATTAATAATTTCGAAACGCGGATTTCACCACTGCTTTTAGCTTATTATGCATTATGTAGTAAATATTGGAAAACGTTATCAATTTATTTTGTTGAAAATGAGATACAGCAAAAGCAGCTTCTTCGACGCAAGCTTCTTTTTAGAGTATCTTATTTGCCCGACAAAAAATTGTTACCCAGGTCATTTATAGAGTTGTGAAGGTGAAAACAGTGGTGAAAACTGCATTACGAAATTTCCATCAATAATAGAGATATTGATTTTTAAATATACATGATCAAAAATTTCACCAAAATGCTAAAAAGAAGGCGATGACAAAAATGTTAAAAAAAAAACTCTCTTGCGCTACATAGTGAACGGTATGAACAAGTTATATTTAAAATTTCATACTAATAACGGAGATATTACGTTCTAAAAATATACTGAAAGTACCAAAAGTCACAGATATGAACTCCTCTTAAAATAGTAAAAAAGTGTATGCATGTGTTACAGTTCTGAATTCAGAAAAAAGTCTTCAGTTTAAAAATTGACTATCTGACTAGTGGTGCTAAAATTTCAAGAAGATCCAACTAACCGTTCCCGAGATATTCAACTGCTTTCATACTTTTTAGCAACCCTGTGTTATTGGAAGGTATAATAGGGTGCAGTATTTTGGTTCAAATTTAGAATTGTTGTTAATTGTTTGTGAACGATTTTGCTTTTATTGTCATATCATATTAATAAACTGCGCGTCAAAAGTTAGGGATATTGATGAAAATCATGTGTATTATTATTTATTTATTACTTTTCCAAATATTTGACTAGGTTTAAGTTAAATTAATTAAAATACCCCAAATTTTTGACGCGCAGTTTAATATTTTATTTTCCACATTAATAAAAATCCAAGGTATTTAAGTCTGGGACCGAACAGGCCATACGTAAGTGAGGTTCCACTTCGACCAATCCAGCGATGTGCAATACATCACAGTTTTATTTTACATTATCGGCCCATATTTTCGAAACAAAGAGTCTTCCCAAAAATCAATTAGACAAAAAGATCTTAAAATAATCCAAGGAATAACTCCCGAATTTTTGCTACCTATTTAATAAACATCCTGTATAGTACAGTAAATCTTTACCACTGGAAAAGGTACCTGCATTATGGAAAATGTGTCATTTTAAACCTAACTTGCGATTCTTTCATTTTTTAATCTAGGTAGGCTGGTAATATAAAACGTATTTGAATGCTAGGTGCATACACCGCACATGTGCCAATGTCAAGTTAAATACTGAACAGAGGGTATTCTATGACTGAACATAATATTTAACCTAAAAAAGTGAGCGTATTGAAAATTCGTGTTATCAACAACACCTTCTTTTCCAGAGCAAATTTAGATTAGAAATTCAAAGAATCAAATTTCATCTATTATCAAATATTATTTGATGAATACCATGATATCACGGGACGTCAACCACGGTACACCTAAGTACTAGTGTTTACTAATATGTTTGAAACTCACTGTATGTATTTCTGTCGGTTTGTCAAAGGCATTTGATCGCATAAACATAGGAGACTCCTATTGACTTCCCCGTTTCTCAACTCTTGCATTCCAGTCACGCATGACTAATATCGTGTCCTGGTAATCTTCCGTTTGTTGTGTCAAAAATTTCTCAACATTTATTCCTGTCTTCTATATTTTCATCTTGGTTTGGACTATACATCACTATAACATTTGTTTTTAGTTCAGGTCTTGTATTATAAAATCCAAGACTAGTATTCTTTGTGTTACACAATTCCAGCTTCTGGAATATTTGACTAGTTCTTGTCTTATTACCCTACTTCTTTGTGTGTTCCCGTTTCCGTTTCTCTGTCTGTTTGTCTGTCGTCTGTATCCATTTTTATTAGACACGTAATCTCCGAAACTACCAGACCGATTATTGTCAAATTTTGTATGAATATTAGGAATATCATGTAACATGTAATGGTAAAACGTTAAATAGAATTTAGCCAATCAACAATTTGTTGGAGTTATTTCAATGAGTTCTATTTTACAATTATTTAAATTTCAGTTTTGTCTCTAAATCTTCAAATTATTAAGGGGTACAACATTGTACTACCAATACTGGAAATAAAGATTTGTGGCACAGTGTGTTTTTAGGAGAACGCCGACTTACGATCTCACGTTCGATGCCGAACTTGGCCATTGGCTAGTTTTCATTTGTGCTATGACTATTATTATCTTTGACGTCATCACAATTTTTTTTGTTCGATTGTGGCATACCTAATTAATAATTTTAGTCCTCTATTTTGAGGAGATAAACTCATTCAAATCAAAATAATGTAGGTATACGTGACATATTCGTTCTATGTATGACATAAACACCTGAGTTAAGTTTGTTATTAGTGCTGAGAGGACATTTTATCTCATTGGTTGTGTGCCTTAAGAATGAATTTTGCGCTCTCAGTGCTCAGGCTCTGCGGGGTGTTATTTATGCAGCGGGTTTTTACTTTATAGAGGTTATTACAAAACGAAAATCGCAAGATCAATTTTTATAATTTCTTAAATAAGTTTGATTTGTCGGATTATACTTCAAGGGCTACGGAAATTCTGTCGAAATAGCGTTCGACCAATTTTTTATTTCTGAAATAGCCATTTACTTTTTCGAATTCTTCAATGAGCCCTTGTTCATTGTTCCTTAAGCTGACTATATTTCATGATGCTAAATTCAAGTTAGTACTTTTATCTTGTTGGATTATTCGTATTTTGTTTTCGTTTTCCGTTTCCATACTCT